AACGAGAGTAAGGTACGAATCCATTTCAGCTTGACTTTACATCTTTTTTTTTTTTTTTTTTTTTTTTACAAGGTGTCATATTCTAGACTAATCCTTGGGTCTGTGATCCGGCCCCTCTTCACACAGTCCGGTTAATCGCAGGATGTGCCTCCAACTGGCCAGGGTCCGAACGCTCCCCACCTGGTCTGACAAAGTGCCAAGCAAGCCAATCCAAAGCTTGACTTTACATCTAGTCGGACGGTGGGATGGTTAAAGAGTGTACAACAAGCTCACGTAAAATAATTCATGCTTTTGCTTGACTATACTATTCTTTCTTCAACTTGAAGAAATAAATGACAATAACAAATAAACAAATTCATTTCAACTTAGTTAGAAAATCTAATTTAAATAAATAAGTCTAATACTTAAGCTTTTAATAAAGTGTTATAGGCTTATAGCCCCTTTTGTGTAGATTAAAATTTAATAAAAATATATAATCAAATTCAACAATTAATCTTAATCATGTATTTTATAGAATCCACAATTTTTTAAGTTTTAACTATACATTTCATTAATTTTTTATCAAAATTTATTTAAAATCTAATTTTAATCTATACTAAAGCGGGACTTAGTATGTTGATTTTTTTATTTAAGTCTCTGTTAAGTTAAGAGATAAAATCTCACATCGAATAAAAATAAAAATATAGACCAATTTATAAAGGATTTGGACAACTCCTCTTAACAAGGTTGACCTTTTAAGATGGACCCTCAAATCTTAACATGGTATCAGAGCTCATTAATCTCCAACAAGCAATTTAATCCGGTTAAGACTCTAAAAATGAGTATATGAATTTGAAGATTGGTCTGCTCAAACAAGCCACTATTTTGTGGGGGCATGTTAAGGGATAAAATCTCACATCAAATAAAGATGAAAATATAGACCAATTTATAAAGGATTTGGACTACTTCTCTTAACAAGATTGATCTTTTAAGATGGACCCCCAAATCTTAACAGTCTCTTCCACACTCTTATCATTTTGACAACATTTGTTTCTTGTGAAAGAAACCTATATTAACTGGGGATTAAAACGGAAGAAAGGTTAATAAACTAATTAGAAATATATTTCTCTAATTATATTAGAAGCAATCAGTTGAATCGCCCGTTTGGTAGGGATTTTGAGAATTGATTTTTTGACCGTTAGAAGAAAAGTGGGGTCCACATGTGAGAGAAGAAGTCAAAAATTACGGCTTGAATAGTAAAATAACGGTCAAAAAATACATTTTTTGGGACAAAAAATCCCTACCAAACGGGGTTATATCATATTGGAATTAAAAATCTTTATGTTGCAACTTAGCGACTGCGAATCTAATGCAAACTGATACTTTTTTAAAGATGGATCTCTCCAAGATCTTGTACATTGACGTAACCTTCCAAACGAAGATTGATAGTACTAATGTTAATGATATGTCGAAATCACTATTATTGGCAATTTTTAGACTACAAGTGGACGGATCATTAACAAATAATTATATAATAGTGATTAAATTTCAGATTTTAATTCAAATCAAAGGTAATAATTAATTTTAATTACATATTTCATGGGGTCTCACAATTTTTTAACAACATGTTTTATTAAAATTTATCAAAATCTATTAATTAAAACTAATTTCAATAAATCACACACAATTAAGACTAGAGTTTTGAATTTGAGTTTCCTAATTAGTAATTAAACTACCAAAAATTAATAATAATGGGGAGAACAAGTATTTTGGTAGAACTTCGTGAAGAAAATAGTTAGGAGTCCTGCTTTTACTGATCTACTCACATTCAATTCATATTTTGGTTCAATTATTATGTCTTCGATCATTAAAATCCGTTTAAAAAATTTAATATTCGTTTCTCGAGTACTAGTTAATATATCCCTAATTATTAAACTATCGTCTCTCAATTATTAGTTTGACAAAAGTTGTGTTTAAGAACGTAAGACAACCACGTGAATAAGTAGAAAAAGAAACCTCTCAATTAAGTAGAAAAGCAAGATTTTATGTTCTAACATGCAGTATCTCGATATAACGTGTAACAAATATAATCTAATTTAATTAATTAACAAAATAAATCAATCACGTCAATTTAACCCACTTTGTGCTTCTGATAATATCAAATAGAATCGCTGATGTAAAAGTTCAAATTATTATTAATTAATTTTTTTTATCACGTTGTTAAGCCAAAATAAAAATATTATAAATTGAATCAAAATAGACATCTTGGATGGATTATTAAATTTCGGATAACAGCTACCACATTTATAAAAAGTAGGTTGTAGGTTAAGATTTGAAGTTTCATATTAAAAAGTCTACATTGTGAATAAGAGTAGTCCAAAACTTTAAAAATTGATTTATGTTTTCATTTTTATTCGACGTGAAATTTTATTACTTAATATGTCCCGCAAGATTGTGGCTTGTCTGAGTAAACAATCTTAAAAATTCGTATGCTCATTTTTTGAGTCCTAGTCGAATTGAATTGTTCGTTGGAGTTTGGACTCTAATACCATGTTAAAATTTGAGATTCCATCTTAAAATGTCAACTTTGCTAAGAAGAGCAGTTCAAACTTTTATACGTTGATTTATATTTTAATCTTTATTCGGTGTGGGATTTTATCCCTTAATAATAATAATATATTTTTTGATATTCAATCTACCTTTTTTATATGATACTAGCAACATTTGAGCATTGAACAAGAAATGTATTCAGTCAAGAGGAAAAGTTTCGATTCAAATTTAAATTGAAGTATAATTGAATGATCAGTCAGTATTATCATGTTAAATAGTTTCATGATATAATTATTTGACCCATAAAATTAAACTCAACCCAACAAATACTTTATTAATTATCTTTTTAGGAGGATTATAATGCGTTGGTTGTTAGTTCTTTGAACCAATAGGAATTAGACCCAAAACCAAGAATCGGAACCAATAAAATCATTTTTATTTATTTATTTTTTTCGAAAATTGTTTAGAAATATTTCATGATGATGTAAATAGGACCATGAGTAGATCTAATTATAAACGACGAATAAGTTAAGCCTCAATCTCGATAAATTTGAATCAAGTATGTAAATTTCAGGATACTGTTTTCTCTTTTAATATATTTAATTAAGATGTCGTAAACTTTTCAAAAAAGAAACCTACATAAGACTTATGAAAACATGTTCGCCCCCCAGGGCACTTCTCCACTGGCAAAGGACGGACGCTGTCAAACCTGGCAGAGCAGAGGTCGTGAGTTCGAAACATGGGGCTCTTGGAAGGCAAGGATTTATTCTTGGAAGGCAAGGGAACATTTGGAAGGCAAGGATTTATTCTTGGAAGGCAAGTGGGAACTTGGAAGGCAAGGATTATTCTTGGAAGGCAAGGTGCAACTTGGATTGGCTTGCTTGGCACTTTGTCAGACCAGGTGGGGAGCGCTCGGACCCTGGCCAGTTGGAGGCACATCCTGCGATTAACCGGACTGTGTGAAGAGGGGCCGGATCACAGACCCAAGGATTAGTCTAGAATAGGACACCTTGTAAAAAAAAAAAATAAAAAAAAATAAAAAACATGTTCACTCAATCCAAATCGTCTTCTTCTTACTTTATCTTCATATCTATCTTGCCATTTCTTCCTCACACCATTATTATCCAATTTGTATAATAGTTGAATTTGGTGTATAGCTGTAAGAAATATAAGGGAGTATATTGTTATTTTCTTTACAATGTGAATCCGACCAAACCCGATTGAACCGGGGAAGTTGGAATTAATGCAATCATTGACCTGAGCTAAAAGCACGTTAACCATTTTCCCAAGAAAATATCAGGAAAATCACAATGGTAATTTTTTTAGAAAAGCCATTGAACTTCCATTTCTCTACAAAAAGATACTCGAACTTTCCAAAATTGCCAAATTTAGCCTTACTAGTATAAAAATGCCCTTACACATCCGATAAACAAACACTAAGAATTTTAAGTGAATAGCAAATAGTAGAAGTATAAAAGAATCTTTATTATCTTCATTTTTTGAATCTTACTAGATATAATATAGGTGTGCTTATAATAGAATGTAACAATTTACTATTTTACAGTAAAGTGACAAACATAACTATCATGAAATGACTTATTAATAGATTAATTACTTCGAAATATTATATACATCACACATCGTGATATCAAGTAAAAACTTTGGGTTCTAGCAAGCTAGTGTACATCCATTTCATTAAGAATTAATGATATTTTAACAAACACCTTCAGTCAAGCAATAGGTAGTTCAATTGCTTAACAACAAGATTCGATTTTGAAGATTATGGAAACATTTCATATAGTTCTAGTGTCCGTATACATTTGCAAAATTCTCCATCTTTTCACCTCGAATTTTTTACGTTATGTATTAAGCCCCTTTTTGTTTCCAATTATTTGAAGAAAATAATGCATTTTTTTATCCCTTTTTGCCAGCACATGGGACTCACTGTGAGATAAAAAGTCAAAAATCACGGTTAAAAGTGGAGCAACTGTTCGAAAATAAATTAAAATTGGGTAGAAAAATTGAAAATAAACAGGAGCTAAATAACATTCAATATACAAAAATTGTGGTAAAAAAATTTTGAGATTCAACTGGAATTAAGAAAATAAGAACCAAATTAACCATTTCAAAACGATGGAGGGCTTCTTTAAATATTTTCCAACAGAGTAAGTGCAAATGGGTTCATATTATAAAGCATTTCATGTGAGCCCAACACTAAAAATAATTGAAAATTAACCCTCTAACAATTTACTTAAACTTTCATTTGATTATTCTTTGACTTTAATAGACAACTTCTGCTGACTCAATCATTGTTGATTATAATACAACCCTTTAATTTACAGCTAAATTGGGAATTAAAAATAAAGTAAAAGAATGTGAAATTCGAGTACCAAAATCAATTATTTGAATAAATTATATGCAAAAGAAACAAAAATTTCTCTATATAACTTCACACACACCCTTCAGTTTTTTTTCCCTTTCCTTTCCCTTCGCTTAGTTTCCCATTTTCTTGCCCAAACACAATATTTTCCCTTCACCATTTGTCCCTGCAATTCTTGCATTTCTTGCATTTCTGTTCTGTCTATATATATGCATTAAGAATATCATAATTCTTCCTTAATTTACGCTCATTCTTGAAAAAATCACCTTTTTTTGTTGGATTTCATCTGGGTTTTTCATTCCTGATGGATAGAATGATTTCTGAAAGCTGGAATTTGCCATCGCAGTTTGAAACCACTTGGAATGGACTGAATGTCACTGCAGAGCAATCTTTTCTAGACGCTAACTGGGACAAGAAATGTACAGATCAATTTACACATTTTGAACCAGTTTTAAGTTCCAATTTAGGTTTTTCAAATGATTTTGCCCTCCGGGAGTTGATTGGAAAATTGAGTATTGTGAATTCCGGCGGGTTGCCGGCGACTCCAGACGGCGCCGCTGCCGCCATGGCGGTGGCTACTAATGATGATAGTACCAAGAGTTCTTGCTATAGTACGCCGTCAAACTCTTCCCCTAAGCTGCATTTCCCGATTCTTGATCAAATTAACATGCGCCATTTGGGGAATTCGCTGCCTCTGACTCCTCCTCTGCCTGCACTTTCCTGTGATCCAGGTTTCGCGGAGAGGGCGGCCAAGTTTTCGTGCTTTGGCAGCCGGAGTTTCAATGGTAGAACAAGTCCATTTGGATCAATTAATGCTATGGAAAATTTTAATTTAAACCGAGTTTCAAGTAGCCCTTCTCTTAAACAAGCTGGATCTCCGGTGGAAAACAAGAATTTGAATCAATCACAGACGGAATTTAGGTCTCTCGGTGGGATGGTTGATAAGAAATGGAATAAATTATCAGGGGCAGGTGCCTATTCTGATGAGGCATCCTCTGTTTCTGAGCAAATCCCAAGTGGAGAATTAGGGTCAAAAACCCCAAATGAACACAATTCCAGGAAAAGAAAGGCTATTTCTAAAGGAAAAGCCAAGGAAAATACATCAACTTCAGCTAAGGTATAGATATTTTGTCAATCTATTTGAAGTGTGAAATAATAGAAAACGCAGTAATTATAGAACGAGACTTTCATTTCAGGGATTTGAAGATTACAACAATCCAAAAACGAAGCGATCAAAGCCTCAAGAAATTAGCAAAAATGAAAATGATGATGTTAAAGCAGAGGAGGAAGCTAAGCTGAATCCAAATGGTGCTGAGGATGAAAGTGAGAAACAAAAGGAGAATCAAAAGCCCCCTGAGCCACCAAAAGATTACATTCATGTCAGAGCAAGAAGGGGTCAAGCCACCGACAGCCACAGTTTAGCAGAAAGAGTATGTATTTTAAACAATTTCCTCAATAATACATTGAATCATATAATGCGACCGCCATATTGTAGTATCAGTTGTCAAGATTAGATTTTCCGGTAGACGTTGTACTAAAATCATGTGGCTGATCCTAAAATTATTGAGAACAATGCTTACTTTGTTGCTGATCACTCTGTTGTGATGTTCTTCGTTATGGTTTGATTAGGTTCGACGAGAGAAAATCAGCGAAAGAATGAAGTTTCTCCAGGATCTAGTACCAGGCTGCAATAAGGTTTGCAGCATTGCTTGCTAATTTCATCTATTCAACTTGTTGAATTACTATATTAAGTCCATCAGTAATTTTTCCTGGAAAAATTCCTGGTTTAGGTGACTGGAAAGGCTCTAATGCTTGATGAAATCATTAACTATGTTCAGTTGCTGCAACACCGAGTTGAGGTATAAATTAGAATACACTGAAAGCTGGTAGTATAAGATGTTTGTCTTAGATTTCAACTTTTGTTGGGCTAATGATGTTTCGGACTAAAATTTCTGCAGTTCCTGTCTATGAAATTAGCCTCTGTAAATACAAGACTGGATTTTGACATGGAAAATCTTCACTCCAAGGATGTGAGTAAATTTTACCTTGGTGAATATATTATTCTTTATGTTCGAGTAGATCTAGTAGTGAGCCGAACAGAGTCTGAAAAAAAAAAAAGGAAAAAAAAAAATGAAGATTCATTAAGCCGAATCAAAAATTATTTTCGAGGATTTGGAGTTTCTGAAATATGATTTGTTGGATGTCCATTCAGATATTTCAAGAAAAAGGAAACCTGCCCCAACAAATGTACCCTTTGCATTCCTCAGCATCAGTGTTCTACAATCATCAATCCCAGCAGAATATACAACTAAATGATGCCCATATTTCCAGGGGTCCATTGAATCAATATTCAATGGACCCTTTAGATGCCCACAACCCAGGAATTCAATTATCTTCTATTGATGGATTTGGTGAAAGTCTTACTCAGGTGATCTATCTTTCAAAAGTACTCAAAAATCTTGTTCGTAATGCTGTTGAGGACTCACATCAAACATACACTAAAAGGTATGAAGAAGTAAATTTTTTACATAATCTGATATTTGTATCGACCTCGTATTTCCAGTTCCCAGCATTCAGTGGCCATGATTTGCAAAGCATTATTCAGATGGGTTTCGACAAGGATCCTGTTAAAGAGACTGCATTTCATTCAGATAGCTTTCATGGTAAAGACAAGAAAAGAATCAGATTAAATATTGTTTTAAAACTTGTCACTTATAACTACTTGTTTTATGCAGTCCCAAATCAAACATCACACATGAAAGTTGAGCTGTGAACGCCATTTGTTTATGCTCTGCTGGATGCCCGAAAGAGAAACAGGCTGCTGTAAATACAAAGAGAATTTAGTACAAGATGATTGATAAAATGCTAATTCTAGGAAATTTTCTTTTTTCTGTCTTAGTTTCGTCCTTTGCATTTTATTTCGCTATTGTAATTGATGAATTCCTGTTTCCATTTTTTTATGAGGTGATTTTACAATTAGCCATTGTATAATCATACAACCAGATGGCTATTTCTGGTGCAAAGTCTTAACAGCACCATATATGTACTATGTAATATAAGATATTCTTAGTGGAAATGAAAACTAATATTTCCATGGCCATTCTTTGTTTAGCAGTCTACATCTCACTTATTGGCTTGTTTGATGGTTTAAACTAAACAGGATTAAAGAAGAAGAAGTAATTAAAGTCTTATCTATACAATTCTGTTTACTCTATCATACCGAAAACATCCCTTATGTAAAATCTTGATGATGCATTGCAATCTTTCTCAAGATCTTCACACGGTCGTGTCAATTAAAGTGTTAAATCGCGTTTTCTAGTGGTTATTACTTGTGATTGTTACTACTTATGTTGTAACCAGCTGTATAAGTGGGGCTCTTTTCAATCAAAAGTCTTAATACAGATGATAATTTTGATTAAACTTTTGTTCTAGTCTATCATAATTTCAGGCACATTTTGTGGGCACCTGTAATTTTCACAGATAAACCAGAAACTGAACCTTCTGATCTCTTTTTCACCCTGCAAAGAATAATCGAAAGGCTGGAACTTTGTGCCAGTCATTTACAGCCTATACATACATACATACATATTTATGTTTATACATGAAAAAAAGGAATACCAGGTTGTCATTGGTGAGATTCTGACTAGGCTCAATGAATTTAAGGGCCTTAAAAAATTAATTTTAAAATTTTATAAAAATTAATATGAACAGGAAAAAGTTAAGTAGTTGAGTAGGAGAGCATGAAAAGATGCCCCTAAAAGATTTATGAATCATTTGATGAGAGGTGATTAGTGAAAAAATTGGTTTAACAAAAGATCTGTGCATTTGCAGCCTTTGATTATTTTAATCAGGGTTCTATTATTGATCTTTCTGATCACAGTGGCTTGATTATCTGAAAGATTCTTTGAAAATGATCTTTTTACAAAAGAGTTAAACAACATATTATTGTATATTTGAACATGTATAGGTGATAATAGAACTGTCTTGATTAAATATTAAAGAATGTCTGTCATGCAAGAAATGTATCTGGCAGTTTGTAAATAAAATTTCTTGTCATTTTTTGCGTGTTTTCAGAGTTGAATGGCCGTTTAGCTACTGAAGTTCCGCCGTGGACTGTTTCACGGTGGCCGGAATTTAAAAAGTTCAATTTTTTTTTACCCAATTTTGTCAAAACCTTTAATTTTTGTTGCAAACATGGTCATAAACGACATGAACAGTCTAAAAGCAATTCTCGTATGTCCAAAAATTTTTAGGAGTCTTATTTCCTCGAATTTCAATATATTCTTTGTGGAACCTAAAACACTGTACAAATTAATGAAATTCAACTCAAAAGATCTCTCGAACAGATATGGATTCTTGAAAATGATTTCTTGCCAGTCAAACAAAACAGGTGAATAATTGATTTTTATTCTAAGAAAATAAGGTGAGTTGTTGAGAAGAAGATAATTATCAAATTTCATCAAATCAAATCGTAATTGTAAATTAATAACGTAGACTATTTTGAACATTTTCATCTAAAGTTTTTAATTTTACACAACTCAGGACCTATTTGACAAGACATCTACGTTAGACCAGTTTTTTATGAAAAATAAAAAATTAAGTCGTACAAAACACTTCTAAATAAATTATTCAAATATGTTCAAAAGTAACTTTTTAATCTTGAAACAATCATGGCAAATGTTTCTAATATCTTGCTTAGTTATATAGAAAGAAATGATTCAATTTCAAACACATTTTAAAATAACTTGGGACCTTTCTACTTGGACAGATTTTTTCCCCTGATAGATTCTCAGTGTTTATTATGTCATTGACTAAGAAAAGCAGCAAGAATAAAGCTTAGCTTAGCTTAGCTGCACTATATATATATATATATATAATACTATATGATTATTTTTATATGAAGTGACTAATGAAGAAAATACAAATGATTAAAACTGGAAGAACATGAAAATCTTTAAAAAAGGAACACCCACTTTTCTCTAAAATTCTACGGCCAGTTTAGTTTTAGTAATAAACATCATCAATTGCCCAGAAATTTTTCCAACTACTGAAGATTCTTAGGACATCGATTGATCGGTGCATTGAGAAATATGACTCGAGGGGTTGATCGTCTTGAAGACCCATGCTATTCTTCATCGTTACACCTCTACTCTATAACCAAATTGATGCTCATTATTGGAGATGATAGAATCATGAGAACATTGATATAGAGATTAAGGGATCGTAAAATATTATTGACGATCAGCCTGAAACTACTTATAAATGAAACTCATCTCCATAGTATTTTCCATGCTAACACAAAGTACATGTTTTCTACTCATTACTGCATTTTCTCTGTCCCTTTTTCTTTAAAAAACTTTTTCATCTTCTAGATTTAAGCTCAACAATTAGTGTAGAACGATTTGATAAATGGATTTGGATATTGAATGCTATTTAGTCTTAACCGTAAGCACCCTCCCATGTGGCAACGATGTCACTATCACATTGTTTTATGAATAAAAATGCACCCCAACTTCATTATAAATTGTGGTAGTGAGTATTGTTACATAAACTGATGTTTAACAATCCTGTAGATAAATAGTTTTTCTCATTGATTCATGTTATGACAATAAAAAATTATATAATATAACAATTAAAATTTCAAGGAAAAAAATATTTAAAAGATAATTAAGACATCAACAAATTTCATTTTATGGTAGAAAATTGCGAAATGGACAAAATTTAATGGAGGAAAGAACCATATATGTTTACGATCTATCTTAACACAATTGGATCTCAACTCCCCTATCTTTGGTAAACTCAATATTCATTCCATGGACACGTTAAACTATGGCTTATTTGGGGATGGCAGAGCCTAGGGGCGAAAAAGTATTGCGGACTATGGAACCTAATCACCAAGTTCAATCTGATCAGTCCTAAGTTTTAAACTATTTTGGGTACTAGAACCAAGAATCATCCGGTTCTCGATTCTAATATCTACAATTGAAAATCCGAAATGAACCAAACTTTTATTTCATTTTTTTTTGTTTTTTTATCATGTACACTTTGTTTTTCGTTAGGAGTGAAAAAATTATCATGCGTAATTGGAAATACCATTGGTACATCAATTTCTAATTAATTATATAATGAATCCATTTTCAATAGTCGGTTATTTGAAAACCAAAGATAAGATGTTGAAATGACTTTATCGTGATCAAAATTTAAAATTCTTCGCTGGATGGAGAAAAATCAAAACTAAATTGATGTGTGAAAATGACAAGATTATGAATTCCTTCTCCAAGTCCAACGACATGATGTTTAACTGAAATCAAAGGACATTAGTTGCTCATAGACATTAGGTGTCCAATTAAGAAAATTGTCACTTTCCATATGTTAGTCTTTAAATTTTCTTTTGAAGAAAGGTTTATTCCTTAACACTTTTTGGAAAATTCTACTCGCAAAATTTTAGCATCTCCTAATATAACTTTGTGGACTAATTGGGGGTCCGTGGTGGGTGGATGTGCCATGTGGCAAACCACCTCCATTCTAAACAAAGTTTGAATGATTAGATGAATCCCTTCTAAATATTGGATTCTCTCGGTAGAATGTCTCATTTAAATTGGCATGAACAGCAACATCGATTCCATTCTTTATATTGAAACAAACGAAAATCGTTCATTTTCAAATCTTGCACCAATCTAGTACGATTGTACACAATTCCATATCAATTCCCTTTTAAAATAATACCATCTGAATCACTATTTAGATAACCATGCTCATGTGGATATTTTATAATTAGTTTGTTTCATATATAGTTTCGGTCAGAGGAAAAATCATTCAGATAGGGAACCCATTTATTGCAGATTGAATAAAAATTCTAGTGAATTTATTTAAGAGACAGGCAGACAGCCCCATTCTTCACAAATGTACTAAGCAACAATCCACTATTAAAGTTGTATAATAAAATATGCAGGATTCATCTCAAAATTTCAAAGAAAATTGAAATTTATATTAAGGAATCAACGTTTTTATGTTCAAGAACACAATTTGTACGGGACAGAGAGTACGACCATGATATGTAATCCTTAAATCAGATGACATAACACAGATGTTCTGAGAGTAGAAGAATATTNGTACGGGACAGAGAGTACGACCATGATATGTAATCCTTAAATCAGATGACATAACACAGATGTTCTGAGAGTAGAAGAATATTAAAATTTAGGTCAGCAATTAATTTCATGGCAAACTCAATACACTCGTGGGTTCTGCTCTATGCGCCATTTTCCATTTTCTGCACCATTAACCGAACGTACGTAAGAAACTATAAATATTCCAGACCTTAAATTAAAAAAATGGAAATGCCACGCGAGCTTACATTAGCTTCAAATGGATGCATCTTGTTCATCTTAGCAAATATGTTCCCATAAAATTGGGCATCCTTCTTATTGAACTCCTTCTCCTTCTGCTTGAGAGCTTTGTACTCCAGCTTCACGTCCCTATTTCCATTGCGGAATGGAGACCCTAAAATTGTTATAAATCCTCCAACAACCATGTCTATAACTAGAGATTCAAAAGCTGAAAAAAGGAGCGTGTTCTAACGTCACCTGTTGTCAGGATCAATCTCAAGAGCTTTCTTAATATCAAATTCGGCCAAATCCAGATCGGACATGTTCATGTATGCTTGAGCTCTTCTGTAAAGTGCCTTCACATTTGTACTCTCGAGTTCCAAAACCTTCACAAGTGTAATTTCCTCATTAAACAAACGAATCCATTAGTTGAAAGGTGAATTAAAAGAAATAAGCAAACCTTAGTACACAGCTTCTCTGCCTGCTTATAATATTTCAATTTCAATTTGCAAGCCGCATTGTTCAGATTGCAAGTGATCTTCAGTGCTTTGGACTGTTTCTTTTCTTCCTCACTAAAAGAAGTGTCATACTCAATGTACTTGGCAGCCTGAGTTCAAAATCCCCCATGTGAGGCAGACGACTAGTAGATACACAATATATAACAGGACTTATCTCCTAAGCACCGGTAACATAGAACATTACAATAGGTAGTGGGAGATAATGGTTAGTTACAAAACTAATTACACCACCAATTGTAGTGTACCACGTCAAC